GCATGTAGTTGGGGCTGCTTGGTACTGACAAAGTTGCTGTACAGCAAACGTTATGTCAGGGCGAGTGATGGTTAAGTAGTGCAGACGCCCCACAATTCGTCTGAACAAGCTCGGATCATCCAACAATGGTCCGTCATCAGCTGAAAGACGTGTTTTCATATCAATCGGGGTGGCCACAGGTTTGGAATCTCCATACCCTGAATCCAGAAGGAGGCCAGTGCAATACTTCTTCTGGGTAATATGAATACCCTCCCTTGATCGAGCAATCTCCAAGCCCAGGCAATAGTGGAGATGGCCGAGATCACGGATTTTGAATTGGGATGCCAAGAATTTCTTGAGAGCATTCATAGAAGGCAGATCATTACCAGCAATAATTATGTCGTCGACATAAACAAAGAGTACTGATGAGCCAGAAGAAGAGTGATGAACAAACAGTGAGTAATCACTATGTGATTGAGTGTAGCCAAACTTCAACAAGGCTTGAGTGAGTTTGGAGAACCATTGACGAGAGGCTTGTTTAAGGCCGTAAAGGGATTTTCTAAGTCTGCACACCTTGCTGCTGTCATGAACACCAGGAGGCAGTTCCATGTACACAACCTCGTCAAGATCCCCATGTAAGAAAGCGTTGCTGACGTCAAGCTGAAACATCTCCCAATTCTTAGCAGCAGCTAGAGCCAGAAGAGTCTTAACAGAATTCAGCTTTGCTACTGGAGAATATGTATCCAGAAAATCAATGCCATGTATTTGGCTAAACCCCTTTGCCACAACTCGAGCCTTGTATCTTTCAATGGATCCATCAGAGTTGAACTTGATGGTATAAACCCATTTACACCCAATAGCTCTGAGGTAAGGAGTCCTGTCCACCACATCCCAAGTGTGGTTAGCACCGAGAGCCCTCATTTCTTCATTCATTGCCCTTCGCCAATGTTCATGCTTCACTGCCTCTTCAAAAGTTGTGGGGATGGAAGCCATTTCAACTGCACAAACATACTGTCTATAACCAGGTGACAACTGGTCATAGGAAATACAGGCAACCAATGGATAAATGTGTTTGTCATGCTTGGAATTAAGAGACAGGACATAGTCATTGTACTTGACAGGAACTACATGGTTCCTAGAAGGTTTGCGAAGGGCAATTGGCTGTGTTTGAGAAGGAGAAGGAGAAGAAAGTTGAATAGGAGATGGAAGTGGTGTTTGAACAGAAGAAGAATGAGGGGAAGAAGAAGATTGTGGTGAGATAGGTGTAGTAGTAGAAGGTGTAACAGGTTCAGGTGAGATAGGTGTTGGGTTTGGAGAGGGAGCAAGAGGTGGTGGTGAGTAGGCAGTAGGTGTTGGTGCTGGATGGAGTGGTGTAGTGGTGGGGAAAACAGGGGGAGCATGTGTATTTGTTTCAAGTGTATCAGCAGAAGAAGTGGAACAAGGTAAGATGTGTTCATGGAAAACTACATCACGTGAATGGAATAATTTATGATCCTCTAGATCATATAATTTATATCCCTTAATCCCTGAAGGGAAACCAAGGAACACACACTTACGTGCTCTAGGGAAAAACTTTGTTCTATGATTTCCTAAAGTGCTGGCATAGCACAAACATCCAAAAACACGTAGGTAAGAAAGGTCAGGAGGTTTGCCATATAGGATTTCATAGGGAGTTTTATTTTTCAAAGCTATGGTAGGCAATCTGTTTATGAGAAACACAGAATGAAGGATGAAATCAGACCAAAACTTGAGGGGAAGGCCTGATTGGAATTTCAATGCTCGAGCCACATTCAAAATGCGTTGATGCTTGCGCTCAACTCGAGCATTCTGTTGAGGAGTCTCTACACATGACATCTGATGAATGATGCCATGTTGGGAATAGAAGTCAGGAGTATGAAATTCAGAACCTTGATCAGACCTAATGATTTTGATAGATCTGTCATACTGGTTCTTAACCATAACAAAGAAGTCCTGCAGAAGCTTTCTAGTTTCACTCTTAAATTTCATCAAGTAAACCCAAACACACCTCGATTTGTCATCCACAATGGTGAGAAAATACTGAAAACCATTGTAACTAGGGGTAGCCAAAGGACCCCAAATGTCAACGTGAATAATATCAAACACATCAGTAGCAACAGATTGACTGGAAGGAAAGGGAAGACGTTTCTGTTTGGCTAAGTGACAAATATCACAATGATATAAAAGTTCTGAATCTATACTAGGTACAGCCTTCTGTAACTCCTTAATCCTATGCTGTGATGGGTGGCCAAGCCTCCAATGCCAAAGGTCAAATGTTTGTGGTGTGTATGTATGTGTCTTGAGGGAATTGACATGTATGGAAGTGTCTTCTGATGGTTTGGTAAGCTGGTAAAGACCTCTACTCTGACGGGCAAAACCAATCTTCTTCAATGTGAGAAGGTCCTGGATATGGCAAACGTTGGATTGGAAAGTGAGTGAGATTGGCAAGGATTTGGTAAGTTTACTAACAGACACTAAGTTGAAAGAGAAGGATGGAACAAACAACACTTCATGAATTGTAAAGTTTGGAATCAAAGAGACAGATTCAGAATGCGTAGCAGGAGTCTTGGAACCATTTGGTAAAGTAATGAAAGTGTTTTGTATTGGCCTGTAACTAGTGAAACAAGAAAGGGAACAAGTAACATGATCTGTTGCACCAGTATCCAAATACCAAACATTGACAAGCTCATTCATATTCATTGGTTGCACTGTATAGTATGTTGAGAAAATAAGTTTACCTGAATGGTTTTGGTTTACTGCCTTTTATCTCCCTACTGAGTTGACCATAGGTTGATTCTGTGAAGATGATGGAGAGTTCATGTGCTGTCCCGGAGAGACAGGGGAAGTTGGTGATTGTGGTGGGCTAATCTGACAAAGCAGCTTCTGAAGCCTCCCAATGTCTTCCATAGACAGTCTGATATTAGTGAATCCATCTCCACCATTCTCATTTGCATTCTTGGAATCTGGTCGTGGTAAGATACCACTTCCCATATCTGTTCCCTGAATCTGCCCAGCAAATGCATTAGATGAACCTTGCTCTTTGTTCTTTCTCTTTAGCTTGAAACAGTCTGCAATGACATGGTTGTCTTTCTTGCAGTATCTGCAGAAGAGATTACCCTTAGGTGTCTCTTTGCCTTTACCCTGACCAGCAGCAAGTAATGCAACGGAGTCCACTGCTTGCGTCTCCTGGTTAGGTTTGGTCACTTGTCTCTCATGTTGGATAGCATAGTGGAAGGCAACCTCCATTGATGGTAATGGAGTCATCATGAACAGATTTGTTCTAGCCCCTCCATATGCATCATTTAAGCCAGTAATGAATCTAGACACAAATTCATTCTCTCTGTATTTTCGAACAGTAACCTCAGTAACACAAGCATCAGGTCTAGCTCCTACTCCACCACAAGTACAACTCGGAATAGGCAAAAACTGAATCAATTCTTCCCAGTGTGCTTTCAATTCAGTGTAGTATTGGTTGACCGACTTGTTACCTTGTTTGAGGGTGTAAACAGCTGTCTGAAGATCCCCAATTCGGATGTTATCAGCCTGCCCAAATCTCTGCCTCAGATCTTCCCAGAGTAACCTTGCATTGTCTTGAGATGAGACGCTGTCCACCAGGCTTGGGTCGAGGGAGCTGAGAATCATAAAGTAAACGGCTGCATTACTTTGTTCCCAAGCTGGGTAGTGCTCGCTGGTCAGATCTGGAGCTGGAAGAGTCCCATTGATGAACCCCAACTTGTTCTTGCTTTTCAGGGCAACTCTGACCGTTCTGCTCCAAAGGTTGTAGTTGGCAGTCCCGGTGAGCTTGATCGGGAAAACAAGAGCTTCATTAGGTTTTATGTAGTAAGGGTTGGTGACTGGGTTTGGGACAGGTTGAAGAGGACCTGAGGCAGTGGAACCAGTGTTTGTTTCCATCGCCATTGTTTAGCTTTCGAAAGTAGAAGAAGGAAGAAGATAGGAGGAAGAATGCGGGATGGGTATGGTGAAAACCCTAGATGCCTGAACCAGGCTCTGAAACCATGAGAAATCTGGTAATAAGCTGGATTGTGGTGGAAACCCGCAGGGTTTCTGGTTGCCTCAAGGGCATCTTATATATGTGCAAAGAGAGCTGACTGTACAGGGGAAGAAGAAAGAAAGGAAAAACAAAATATAACGGTAACTATTCTATCTTCCTATCAATCTAAGCCACGCGTCTATGTACAGTAAAATCGGAATGGATAACTAACACTGAGCGGAACGACACCGTTCTCGCTCAGCTCCTCAATTGCTTCCGAGATAGAACGACGACGTTCCTCGAGCTCCTTCAGTGTCAGCAATTGCGGATCCTCCTCGACTTCAATCCAATCCTGAATGTGTGTATCTACATATATCTTGATATCTTCTTCTTCCTGACCGCCCCAGCATCACAGCGGCAGTCTCCCAGTCGTATCCCTCTATCTCGCCGAGAGAAACAAAAGAAGCGAGGGAGTTGTGCTCACGAATCCACGATCTCACATGAGCCAGAATCGACACTCTGTTCAATAAAAATAACAGCAACCAACGTTTTAAAATTGTTAAAAAACGAACAGAAAAATTAGGGTTACCGATCCGGAACTGAGTCGCGGACTAGGTTGCTCTCTTTAAGACGTTCGCGGCACTGCCCTCGTTGCGCACGACAGACTATTAGCCGGTCGCCTTCAGGATAAAACAGCTCGTCTAGGTGCTCGGCGGTTTTGTGCGGAAACCGGAGCTCTCTGAATACACACACTCTCTCTCTCTCGTGTTTCTGCTCTCTGATTGTCTGTTTAGAGGGTCTAGGGATTGCTCTATTTATAGGAGCAAAAATGCTAGAATATTCCTCTTTCGTGGGGAATAAGTCACACTTAATTAGGAAGATAATTACTCCCATTAAAATGCGTTCTATTAAGATAATTAACTCTAATTATCTTTCTAATATTCCTTTTATTAATTATCCTTCTTATTTTTCGTATATGGAAATATACTGGGTAATTAATTAGGAATTTCATTTATAGTTTTTCAAAGCTATTCATCCCGACAAAAAATACCGCCCTTGTAGGTTGTAGCCCTCCACCACCATCAAGCTACGCTGATACTACTATCCCCACTCTCGCTAGACACCATCTGGAACCCAGGCCGCCTCGATCCCCTTTCGTTAGAATGCAACGACAAATTCAGTGACAATGGCAACGGATCATCACCAGCAGGTGACGAGTTTAGATTCAATTCTACATCAGATATTGTCCTTGACGAGGTACGAGTAAGGGATGATGATGATGATGGAACCAGGGCAGCAGGGCGGATAAGGTTTGCAGCAGGAACGCATTGATGACCGACTCGTCCTGCTCCTTCTCCTCATCGTCGTCGTCGTCGTCCTCCTCCTCCTCCTAATAATGATAAGTTATCCATCTCAATGGGCTTTAGTACGGCTGCTGAATTGTTAGTGGAGATGGTGAGATTTGACATCACTGGGAAGTTGCTGCTGTTGGTGGTGGCGGTCCTCTTATCTTGTTGTTGCTCTTCTCCCATGGAAATCCCAGCGACCTAATGAATTCCCCACATGACCAGAAAATAACAAAGATGGGTCAGTCTGGATAGTTTACAACTCGCTTAACTACAAGACGACCGATGATAGTATGTACTGTATGGTTTACCGTATCAGTAGTTATGTCGAAGAGGCTAGATCTGCGGCGGCGGCAATTAATATTGAGCCGCCGGAGGAAGTACTTCTGAGCGTGACTGGCGACCTGAGTAGGAGTTTGAGTCTTGACAAATTTGCGAGAAATTCCTCTCCAATCTCCCTTCCCTACCTTGTGCAATCCAATCAGGAACAGCTTGTGTGTTAATTGATAATTTGCAATATGATCATCTCTAAGCATTTGCACATGGTAGGCCTGAACAATTAAATGATCCATTATCAAATTGGAGCTTCAGATTTGACGTGATGAGAAGGCACACCAAACTAAATTATGGACAGCAACATGAAGAGGAAAGACAAGTAAATAATGCACTAGTAATGGTGGGACATGATTGGCCAATCTTATCTCCATACATGCATGTGTAGTGTCGTTTGTTAGAGGATTGGAAGAGAAGAGCTAGCTTCCAAATGCATTTACTATATGGGTCATCTTATAATTATTCTACTCTTATTCTTATGCATATATATGTAATCTGTATGGGCATGAAGTGTCAGGGAGAGTAATAGAAACAAAAGAAAGAAAAGCACAAGGTGTGCGTGTATGTATCTGTGAGTTAAAGCATAAGCCAATTAGTAAAAGTCTATGTTTGTTTGAGTGTTTTTTAACTTGAGTGATTAAACACCATATGTTTCCTTTGTGTTGATCCTAAATCATAACACATTTCCGCTAATCCCCAACAAATTTGGTATCAGAGCTAATACCTTTCTATCCTCTCCAAAATCCCCAAAATTTCTAGCCTACCCAATTTTCTCAAAATTCCATGGCAACAACTTCATCACATACCATGTTTGCTACCTCTTCAAATCAAATTCCATTTTCGATGGTGAATTGTACGAGTACTGGAGTGCCCAAATGGAGCCAATTTTCATCTCTCAAGATCTGTGGGATTTAGTCCAAGATGGCTATGAAAGTCCACAGGAAGATGATGAAGACTCGAAGAAACGATCAGGCAAGCAGACAAAGGAGTACAAGGAGAATGCCAAGCAAAATGCCAGCGCCTTGAGAATAATTCAGCAAGCAGTGAGCAAATCGATTTACCCGAGAATCTATGGCATCAAAAAGGCCAAAGAAGCTTGGGATGTCATGCGTGAACAATTTCAAGGTTCTGAAAAGGCAATCTCTATCAGGCGCCAAAGTTTATGGCGATAGTTCGACAACTTGATGATGAAGGAAACCGACACCATCAAAGACTTCCATTCACGTGTGGCGGAGACAGTCAACCAGATCAAAGCCACCGGTGACGTCATGGAAGAGAGGAAGGTCGTGGAGAGAATTCTCCGGATCTTATCATCAAAGTTCGAGCATATTGTTGCTGTCATTGAAGAAACCAAAGATTTGGAAAATTTATCAATGAGCGAGTTGATGGGCTCACTTGTAGCACACGAGCAAAGAATGAGTCGCTTCACCAAACCGCCATTGGAGCAAGCTTTCTCGTCAAAAGTCAACATGACAGAAAGTAAATATGCCAAATCGGAGCAAGGTCAGAGAGGGGGAAACTCACAAGGAAGAGGAAGAGGAAGATCCAATTACAGAGGAAACAACAGACAAAATTATCAACAACAAAGATCGGGCTACACCGGCTCGAGTTGCATAATTTGCAAAAAGGTGGGTCATGCAACAAAAGACTGCAGATTCAAGTGCACCAAGTGCAGAATTCAAAACCATTCCCAGAGAGATTGCTGGTTCCAGAACAAGCAAGAAGAAGGCGAGTCAAGCGGCACCAAAAATGAAGAAAGCAATATGGTGGCCTTATCATGCTTGAATGGTGAGCAAAAATCACAGCTTCCCTGGATGGTGGATAGTGGTTGCAGTAACCACATGACTGGAGATCTGAAATCCTTCACCGACATCGATGACCAATACCGCTCTCAAGTTAAATTAGGAGACGGGAAGAAGCTAAAAGTGGAAGGAAAAGGCACAGTTGTTGTATGCACAGAAGAAGGCAACAAAACTCTCATTCGAGATGTTTTGTATGTTCCGGAGCTAACTCTCAATCTACTTAGCGTGGGACAACTAATGCTGAAAAATTACAAGCTATTGTTTGATAATGGCGTGTGCGAGATTATCAACAAAGCAGACAATTTCATGGTGGCCAAAGTCCCGATGACTTCCAACAGAATTTTCTCTCTTGCTATGTCACAAAATGGTGAAGTAGCATTCAAGAGTGAAAATCTGGATCAATCCTTCCTATGGCATCTCAGATATGGTCATCTCAACTTCAAAGGTCTCAAATTATTGAGGCAGAAAAATATGGTGGTGGGACTTCCCCAGATCAACAGAGAAGACAAGATATGTGAAGGATGCATATATGGCAAAATGCATCGTTTACCATTTCCAAAGACATCTTGGAGAGCAAAAGCGTCAATGGAGTTGGTACAAGCAGACATATGCGGTCCAACCCGGACACAATCACTCAGCGGTAAAAGATATTTTCTACTATTTGTAGATGACTTCACCAAAATGATGTGGATATTCTTTCTGGAGCAAAAGTCAGAAGCTTTTCCCAAATTCCTTCAATTCCAAGCAGTAGCTGAGAAGGAAAGTGGCCATCAAATCAAAACTCTCCGTACAGATCGTGGAGGAGAATTTATTTATACTCCGTTCATGGAGTATTGCCGCAACAACGGGATGAAAAGGCAGTTGACGGTCCGTTACACACCACAACAAAATGGCGTGGCAGAACGGAAAAACCGCACGATTGTGGAGATGGCGAGAAGTATGCTCAAAGCTAAGAAGCTTCCCAACAACTTGTGGGCAGAAGCAGTCAACACGACAATTTACATCCTCAACAGATCACCAACCAAAGCAGTACGGAACAAGACACCGATACATGCGTGGCACCACAGGAGGCCACAGGTGGATCACCTCAAAGTCTTTGGGTGCATAGCTTATGCACATATTTCTACCCCAAACCGAGACAAGTTTGACCAGAATGGTGAGAAGCTGATTTTCACCGGCTACAGTGATGAATCCAAAGGCTACCGTCTTTACAACCCAGTAAAGAACGAGGTGGTGGTTTCCCGAGATGTGATCTTTGATGAGATGGCGGAGTGGAATTGGGAAAATCCAATTTCTCAATCTCCACCAAGTTATGAAATTCTGGAGGATTCAGCAATTCCAGAAGACCCCAGCAACGACCCAGATCCAGTTGCTAGTCCAGAAAGAAATTCTGCGCCTAGCCCAGAATTAGACAACTTCAGAGACGTCGTAACAGACTCGGATTCACCTCCGTTGAGAACAAGGTATTTGCAAGAAATTTATGAAACAAGTCATGTTGCATATTTTTCTTGTGAGCCTCAAGTCTTTGAAGAAGCAGCCAAAGAAGAAGTTTGGAACGAGGCAATGGATGCAGAAATTTCCATGATCGAGAAAAACAAGACATGGGAGCTTGTTGATCAATCGGAGGACAAGCAGGTTATAGGTCTCAAATGGATCTATAAGATCAAATTTAATGAAGATGGTACTATCCAGAAGTACAAAGCTCGACTGGTTGCAAAAGGCTATTCACAACAGCCCGGTATTGATTTTCACGAGACATATGCACCAGTAGCGAGGATGGAGACCATCAGAACAGTAATCGCTCTAGCTGCTCAACTGGAGTTACCAGTATACCAGCTAGATGTCAAATCAGCATTTCTGAATGGAGAACTGGAAGAAGAAGTCTATGTGGAGCAACCACGAGGCTATGAGAAAAAAGGAGAAGAAGACAAAGTCTATCGTCTCCGAAAGGCTTTATACGGGCTGAAGCAAGCACCGAGAGCCTGGAACAGCAGAATTGATCGATATTTTCAGCAAAACGGATTTCAAAGAAGTCCGAGTGAAGCATCTCTCTACATCAAAAAGGGAGAAGGAAAAGATTTTCTAATGGTTTGTTTGTATGTTGATGACTTGATTTACACAGGTACAAATCAACATATGATCGAAGAATTCAAAAGTACCATGATGAAAGAATTCGAGATGACGGACTTGGGAGTCATGAAATATTTTCTTGGGATCCAAGTAAAGCAGTCACCTGGAGAAATATTTATTTCATAGGAGAAGTACACCGAAGATATGCTGAAAAGATTTCACATGGCAACGTGCAAACCAATCTCAACACCAATGGCGTTAAACGAGAAATTACAACGCAATGATGGAGCTGAAAAAGTCGATGGAAAGTTGTACAGAAGTCTTGTCGGGTCACTCATTTACCTGACACATACCAGGCCGGATATATGTCATTCAGTAAGTCTTATATCAAGATTTATGAATGAACCTAGCAAACTTCATTTTGCAGCAGCCAAAAGAATTTTGCGGTATCTTCAAGGTACTAAAAAATTGGGCCTGACGTACAAGAAAGAAGCAGAAAGCAAGCTGACTGGATATACCGATAGTGACTGGGCCGGATCACTGGATGATCGAAAAAGCACATCGGGGTAAATATTCTGCCTGGGTTCAAAACCCATTTCCTGGAGTTCAAAGAAGCAAAAGACTGTTGCTCTATCTTCAGCGGAAGCAGAATATATCGCAGCTACAGATGCAACATGCGAAGCGGTATGGCTAAAAAGATTAATTTCTGATTTGCAGCAATGTGAAAATGGTCCAACCATTATTCACTGTGACAACATGTCAGCCATAGCCATGACAAAGAATCCAGTATTTCACGCAAGATCGAAACATATCGAGTTGTGTCATCATTTCATCCGAGACCTCGTCAACAACGGGCAAATTGTGATGGAATTTATCAACACCGACGACCAGCCAGCAGATATCATGACAAAGGCGGTTACCCGTGAGAAATTCGAGAAGTTCAAGGAGCTACTCCAAATTGCAAATTAAGAGGGGGTGTTAATTGATAATTTGCAATATGATCATCTCTAAGAATTTGCACATGGTAGGCCTGAACAATTAAATGATCCATTATCAAATTGGAGCTTCATATTTGACGTGATGAGAAGGCACACCAAACTAAATTATGGACAGCAACTTGAAGAGGAAAGACAAGTAAATAATGCACTAGTATGGTGGAACATGATTGGCCAATCTTATCTCCATACATGCATGTGTAGTGTCGTTTGTTAGAGGATTGGAAGAGAAGAGCTAGCTTCCAAATGCATTTACTATATGGGTCATCTTATAATTATTCTACTCTTATTCTT